AAGCAGCAAAGATAGGCAGGCTAATGTAGCTTAAATAAGGCTCCATGAATGATATTTGCCAATTGGATGCTTGAGGGAATCAGCTGAGCTGTCAGTTGACTGTGTATAGTTTTCCAATAGGAAGCTTAGGAGGAATCAGCTGAGCCATCAGCTGATGTGTGTTTACGACTAGCTGTGATCAGCTGATGTAGCTGGAATTGAGAGCTGAGCTTGACTTTGTGGCCTGCCTGAACTAATGCTGTGCTTAATTTTAGGTTAAAGAGGGAAATAGGACAGAAATTATACATAAATTGTGTTTCAACTATATATTGTATTTGAAGGTATTAATTGTTGTTAATTGATGGAAATATTAAGCCCAGTGGGAGGGGCTATCGGGTTAAAAGGGCTGCCTTTGCCCTAATAAAGTCAGTCCTGGCTTGGTTACAGTGGAGGTAACGTGAATCTACCACCCTGACATTTACACCCTAACACATTTAAAAACACACCTGACAAAACAACTAATAGTACTAAAACTGTTATAGTTATGATGAAATACATTTAGATTATATAAAAAAACAACAGTAATGAGTTAGTAGGTAGTGTCTTTGGCAATTTGTAGGTCCTGCTGTTAACTGACAGTGATTATGTGATTTTGACCAGAAAAACCCAACTCTCACTGTTTTTTTCACAATGGTATTGCAGATTCTTTGGCAACTTATAAGTGAAAAATAAAGTCTTCGAGGTGCTGTGCTCCAAAAAACAGCATCCTTCTCTGGGAGTGAGAGCCAGGTGGGTCCTGCTGTTTGCTGACCGTGATTATGTGATGTGATTTTGAGAAAAAAAAAAAACGTTCACAATTTCTTTGTCATGTTCCAGGATGCACTGTGAGTCAAGACATGTCTCACAACACAATCTTACAGTATCTATATTATTATAAAGACAGGCACTTATGACTTTCTGATTTACAGGTGGAAATTGCTGAATCCAGCAGAAAAATATCACAGCTGTCAATGTTACAATGTATATTTCCAATTTGAGTTTTTGATGACAAATTAAGGATCTAAAATACAAAGCTCAGGCCTTTATTTTGCGTTTTTTGATACAGTGGGAATGCTTTTTAAATAAGAACTATGGGGTTGATAACATAGCCTAATAATTTGCCTTTGGGGAAAAGTTTCAAGTCTTTTCAAGTCAAAAGACACAAGTCCAAGAAACGTCACGAGTTATTGGTATTAAAGTCCTAATCGAGTCTTTTGCAAGTCTTTTTTGATTTTATCAAATTGAGTTGACTCAAGTCTGACTCGAGTACCAAGTCATGTGAATCAAGTCCACACATCTGGTCAACATTGCAATTGTAAACAGTTAAAATGCAAAGCTTTACAGGTGGTGCAAGTGATCAGGGCTTAGTAAATGGTGAATTGTGTAATTTATTTTCTGTGGGTATCCTCAGGGAGGAAAGATGGCAGCATCTAAAGGGGTCCTTCTGGAAACTTTGGAGGATTTGGGCACCGAAGAGTTAAAAAAATTCAAGTGGTACCTGCAAGGGGTTCTGGAAGGCTTCTCGCCTATGACAAAGTGTCAACTGGAGAATGCAGACAGGGTGGACACAGTGGATCAGATGGTGCGGGCCTATGGTATAAACACTATTAAAGTGACCACAATGGTTTTAGGGAAGATGAAGCTGAATGATCTTGCAGAGAAATTATCAATAAC